AGATGAAAATGTGTCTATTGTAGTGCTAAACAATAAGAGCAAAAAAGTGCCAGGTTGTAGATGAGCCTTCGTCTTAAATGCCAGTCAAATGATGCTTTAAATAAAAGACTCTGAAAACCACCGAGCCGTAAACAATAAAGCAATCTGAGATGCAGAGAACACGTTTGCAGTTGAATCTAGTAACTGGCCTTCTTGGCAAAAACAGTAAAACCCCTGTTGTCACAATCCAAGAGAAAATCACTGGTCTTTCCTGCAGGTGACAGGAGCTTGTGAAAGAGTGAACAATGAGCAGTCATCTTTTATTCACGCCTCTGTTTTTCTTTTTTTGGTCAAACACAAAGCCAGGCAGTCAGCTGCACATTCATTTCCACTTCCTCTTTAACTACCGGTGAAGTTGCATCAGTAGCAAAGGTCAGTTTGTTTTATTCATAACTTCTACACGCGCTGCAGGAGAGCGCTTCTATTTCTGGCAGATTACTTATCTCATTTTTCATTCGAACAAAGTAGTCGAGTTCACAGCTTTGATAGACCTGCAAATGCCACACCCTTACAAAGAGCCATGTCAGAGAAAGACTCATTTTCATGCATCACGTCGTGGGGACTGCTGAGCCATGAAATACAGAAAGAAAAAAAAAAAGAGTCTGTGAAGGGAACGCAGAGAACAGGATACTGAACACGATGCTTCTTCCACACCTGATGCTCTGCTACGTGACTTAGCGGTGGATTAAAACTTTGTGGATAAGGCAGGATTTCCTTACATTTAATCCTGCAGAGTTTCAGCCACAAACTTATTTATTTTTTCCAGAGCGATGTCAACATATCTTTCGGGACAAACTGTATTCAACACAACATAAAAGCGGCAAATATATAGGTTCAAATATTTGGGCAAAGAAAGAGAACATTTGCCTCGATTGAGAGATGCAACACTCTGCCTGCCTGCAGCAAAACACATTTTTCCAACACTTAGAGGACGGCGGCTAAAAAAAGCTCAGGTAATGGAGCTTGCAGGTAGGAATAAAGACCGCATTAACATCTGAACCATTTAGTCTACCTCTGACCGGTGTAAAAACCTGAAAGTGTCCTAGGCCTGTTTCTCCCTTTGTGGCAAAGCTGAAATAAGACCCCTGTGGTAAAAGGACACACTGTGAAGGTGGTCTTCAAAGAGCTTATTAGAAAGCTACAGTAGACCTCTGGAGCCTTTAAGATATCTGGGATCAAACGCTTCCGACTTTCATGCTTCCCACTCTGGCAGAAATCCCTTCCCTCTGTCCCCCCCTCTTACTTCTTCTCCGCATCATTAGCTTCCTGTACCTTCAAAAGGAAGTAATGAAGGAAATGCATGCATTTTAAAACTGGATATATAACTCGGGATCCACATGCAAGTCAGTAGTACTCAGAGTCTCTGGCTCTGGAGTGTCAAAGAGTGCAACGCTGTTTTATACATAGAAATCTATAATTCTGCAGGAAATGGAGCATGTTCTCGACTGTGCAGACCTAAAAAGCAGAAGAGTCTTTTCAGGTGAGATTTTTTTGACAAAAATAATACAAAAACAGGTGAGAGAAGACTGAGCTGCAGAGAAACATAAAAAGAAAGAGGTAGAGAGGTAGAGGGAGACGGGAAGGCAGAGAGGGGAGCGAGAAACAGAAGGTAGCAAGACAATAATTACATATTTTTCTTCACACCTTTTGCTCTTCAGGCAATCGTTGCCGTTCACAGACGAGCAATAAACGGGGGAGGCGGGTTTTCTCAGCACAGCCTGGCCATTTTGTTTACCTTTCAGCTGCAAAACACTGTGCATGTTAAAGTGCCTCCGCTGCGTTTAGGTGATTTTTACATTTCCTGCATTAATGCTTGTCACACACATGATGACTGACAACATGGCTGCAGGTGTGTGTGCACGTATATGTCCTTTAGCCCTCCATAGGTGTGCACAGGAAACAAATTGCTGCTCCTGTGAACAGCTCATCCTAGCTCGGTCATTTCGCTAACTCCCCGCGCCGCTAATCCTCACTCCCCAAACATGCACATGTGCACAAACACACTCGCACACGCAGAGAAAGGGTGAGAATTTACATAGCTTGGCTCTCCCTGGTTAGCAGCAAGGCAGTGCTTAATGAGCTGGAGGCCGAAAGCCTTCCCTTTATTGCAGCTCGTGAGTGGTTAATTAATCAGACAGCTCTCCTGTCTTCAAACCCCCCTCACTCCCCTTTCTTTCCCTCTCCTTCACCCTGAACCAGCTTTGCATATACTGTTTCATAAATAGGTAAAAGCCTTGATATTGTCTCCCATGATGACACCTGATGCACCTGGCAACAACACTTATACACTTACAGATTTACACAGATTTACATGAAGAGCTGCTCCGACTACAAGCCAATATTTTAATAATAACCACACACAATCATTCAAGGGAGTCAGTCAGAAACATTTCATCTTGCACAACAAACAACCACAGAGTGACATGCTGTTCACTGATTGGCCCAAAGATGAACTGCATTATTCAGGAGGGATGAAATGATTACTGTCGCCTCATTTGCATCGCTTCTTCCCGTGCCAGCTGGTATCCGTCACAGAGGATGACACGCAGTGTCAACATTGTGCCAGGCAGCGATAAAAAGGTGAGAGACAAAAACTCCAAAAGCTAACAGTGACTCTCCCAAAAGGCCAGCGCTGTAGTGGTTTATATGCAGAGGCACATAGCGCAAACACAGAGAACGTGCTGGGAAAGATAACAAGTTCCTCTCAGGGATGGTGTCTCAGAAATTGTTTGGATATTTTTTTCTGGCACGGCTTTGATTGGTTTGATCTCTGCGAAGCGAGGTCAGTGTTGCTGGATACGTTTGACTTTTTAAGATTAGATTTGTCTAAAGGAAGTTGTCAATCAGCTGGTGATTAAGGAGACTTTTTTTTATAACCAAAACATGATCGCTTGTGCTCAGATAAAACATACAGCTGTCACTAGGAAACAAAGGCACCACTGCTCCATGATTACATCACTTTCAACAGCTCTGGTACTGGTTTACTGCCTTTTAAACATTACTGTGAGACAATTAAGCACTTGGTAAGAATGTCTGTGCTGATATGACATGTTATAAAGGTTCTGATGTTATTTAAGTTTATACAACTGTTTCTGTACATGTTGAAAATTGCATAGTAGTCGACTATGAACTTGCTAGATCTTCACCAGGGATTGGAATTGATACAACTTTATCAATACCAAAGTCATTGGTCTATTCCCTTATTGCTTCCTGATCAATTTGAGTCTGAACGCGGCATAGATGAAATGAGTGCATATTTGTCCCACATTCAATTTCATTTAGCTTATATTTGTGGCAGGTGGCACGGAGGGAAAAAGGAGGTGCACCAGGTAAGTGACACATGCAATATAGGAAGGAGTTGGAGCGAAGGCAGTGATGTTGGGTGAGACAGGTGCACGTCTCATGTATTTCAGGGCTGCTCCCCTGCTGGGTTGAAGGCAGCTGGTAGTCGGAGGGAAAGCAGATCGACGCACCAGGTATTTTAAATTTTAGTCATGTCGTTTTTTAACATTTAATCAGTATGCATTTTAGTATTTTGTAATAAAGTGTTTTTAAGATGATCCATTTGTGTCTCTGCAGAGCATCAGTGGTCCATTAGCTGCTCTTGCTGTGGGACCATTTATGATGTCTGGTTTTGTTTGGTTTGGTCTTTTTCTTAGTCTAGTCCACCCTGGCACGTGAGCTGTTACGGGCCATAAGATATGGGTGTTGCCCTCGAGGCAAACTAGTTTTCTTTCTTTAAGTTTTACCAACTCGCTCAGGTTAAATGCAGTCAGACAGTCAGGGCAGGCTTCAGGTGTCTGCAGTGAAGATAATCACGTGTGGAAATATTGGAACAGTGTTAGCACTTCGAGTGCAAGTCGTATTGATTGCAGTGTACACTGGTGTGACATTGGAAATTAAACCCTGCCTTGTAAGTGATAGCTGGGGGGGTCAATCCTGAGGAGGGTGAGATGGGGGAATATAGATTGTATGTTGAACTTCTCTAATGTCTTTTATTATGCTAGAGACCTGTAGTGGGTGTAACATATTAGTCAAGGAAAAAAAACCTGCCTGCCTACGTGATGCTAATTCTGTTATAACGTGGGATATTTATGCTCGTTAACAAACGTGCTGCTCTCTTGGGATGCAGTGGCATTTGTGCGTAGAGCATCAGATACATGGCGTTTTTGGAGTTTAAGCCTTGTGTTTCAGTGTTTTAGTGGTGTTTCCACCCTCACTTTAGACGATCAATTTCCAGATATTACAAACAGCACTGTTGGCAATTTATATGTGAAATGAAGCCACACTTTGGACCATTTCTTCTTCTTTACTATGGCTCCTTCTTGTTCCCAGCCACCAGAATAGACAAAGGAGTTTAACGTGATTGTTTGTCAATGTGCAAGTGTCAGAAAAACATGTCAGCCTTGACTAAAAGGAATGGATGGGTTGGACATTTGGAGCTGGTTCTCAGCTCTCATCTCTAATCTTCACTGCCAGATTAATTCATGTTTACATAACTTAATTTTGCTTGTTTCAGCTTACAATAGGAATTCAGCTGGTGAACTGCTTCCTCTACATGATATATTCAGTGTATCTGCACAACATGAAACACTCAGTCAACATAACCAACATATCAAGATTCACAAAATGGTAACTCAAATCCCACCTCAGCCTGTAAAATTTTCAGCCCCTAGCACTACTACTTAAAACAAGTTCATGTGGGTCGGAGTAAGGTCATGCGGGCACTGAGCAGAGATGAAAGCAAGGGGGTAAAAAAAGATGGAGTCTCTCCGGGAGACATGTACCCCCCCGACGCATTCATGATGAGCAAAGTGAGCAGGCCTGTCAGCCCCCTGGCAGCAATCAAGGGAGCCCCATGAAGCTCTCAGCGTGTGTCCAGCCTGTTCATTACCAGCGCAGGGCACAGCCACTGGAGTCCGAGGTGACCGAGCAGCACTGACACGTAACTGCAGGCTTACCTTCTGCTCGCACCGTGAAGGGGGAATCTCCGGGTCGCTTGGCTGAGAACTGGCCCCCGAGAGAGGTCATCAGAAAGCACAGGCTGAAGAAGCCAATCCCCACCACGAAGATCCTGCAGGAGATAGACAGAGACAAGGAGGTGATTAAATGACAAGAGTGTGACAAGGTTAGAGCTCATGAGACAGGGAGAAAAGGAGCACAGGGGACAGATGAGGGTGAGACAGTAGAAGAAGAAGATTATGAAACAAGGCATGTGTGCAAGAGAGTTCACTTTACAACAAGCTCTTTGAAAAAGCATCACTCAGTGTCTTTTGTTGGGCTTCATGGAGCGTAGACACATTTTTTTTGCAAAGTTCATATTGTACCAATCGACCCATACAAAAGCGCTGTGTACTCTCTTGACTGTGTCATCTCAAATGAAGCATTACACGGATGAGTTTTCACACTGTGCTCAGTGAGCTGACATCCAAAATAAAAGCATTAAATTGCAGGCGAATGGTTGCATTTTGGAGAGCAGTGAACACATGGAAAACATGTCACAGTGTCTCAAGCTTTAGATAACAAATACTTAGGACCCATTAGCTCAAAGCTGGCTCGTCTGGCATGTTCAAGGAGTCGTGCTGAGAAAATGTTTGGAAACAATCCTTTTGTTATAGAGGGGGAACTGCAGGACAGATTGTCGCACTTCTATTCTGTACACCACAGCGTGCTTTCTTGAATTTTTATAAGGCAGAAAACTGACATCAGAGGGGCTGCAGTCACTCAGCGAGAGCCCAAGTGCGTGACAGTGCCATAGTATTATCCAATATGTGAGGTAATGGTGAAAACTAAGATCTGATATGCAGGCTGTGAGGAAACACAAATATATAATCCTTTTCTCTCTGTACCATCCACTGAACTGTACAGAATGTGAGTTACCCATCATGTTAAATCAGGTCTGGAGCCCTGGCAGGGAACATAATGTGTGACACCACTTTATTCACTCAGAAAGCTGTAAAACATCAGGGAACTTAACGCCTGAGAGAGTGACTTCCCCACGCTGGCATGGACATCCTCACCACCGTGGTGATTCCTAATTTCTTCATGCTAATGAGCCCTCGAGCTTGTGTGCAACCTATCTGGTCAAACCGGGGAAGTTTTAATGAGTTTATAGCTGCTTGAGTTCCTTTCACTTCTCTCCAGCTGCTGCTGGTGTTGGAAGTTTTAGCTGTGTAAGCAAACGGTAATTATGGGCACAGCAGGCATCCAGTTGTTCCAATTAATGCCAACGGTGTGCGCGTGCAATGCTTGATCTGCTACAGCAAACAACAGGAGATATAAAATGGGTAAAGTGGTTGCATTTATACAGCGACTGAATAACCACCAATAATTTTACTTTTAATTTCATCATATATTTTTCATTTTCATGATGCAGAATAAACACAAACAAACCACAACAATATAAAATCAGCCATGCAGCCAACTGTTATTATTTAATATGGCAGTGAAGTGTGCAAACAGCTGCGACAGATCCAGGAGAAGAGGGTCTTACCTGAATGGTTTGAAAGTGAGAAGACATCTCCTCACCATAATGGAAAGCTCGCCGCTGGCTGCAATCATTTTCCACACACGTAGGAAGCTCCGGGTCTCCTTAACATTGTGCGCGTCTGTGTGACCACCAGCGTCAAGACCATAACTTTCAACCACAGTCCTGAGGATTGATGAAGTGCGTGACGAGGCAGGCAACTTCCCAGACAGACAGACAGACAGCTGTCCGCGTTGTGCTCTGTGTGAGTGTGTGTTTATATGCGAGTGTGTGTGAGGAACTTCAGCGGGATTCCCGCCAGTGCGTCCTGGAGCAGCAGGTCTGTAGTCCTTCTTTGCGGTTCTGCAGAAAAATAAATGATTGTCCTTTAATCAGTTTAAACTGTACTCCTAACGCTGCTGGAGACAAAGCTGCATCGGGTGCAACAACACATGACTGTTGAGTTCCTTGAATTCCTCTGAGTGGATGGAGCTGTGACTCTGTCTCCTCACTGTGTGAGTAACTCTTTGGCTGTGGCTCGTTCACTAAGAGCGCCATCTAACGATTTATACTGCAAAATGATTTATTTTCTTGTGTTTTTAAAACAGAAAACAGACCATGGGTGACAGAAAACAAAAGGCTTGTTGATAAAAGCGCCTCAGTGTTGTATGAGTAAGAAAATATTATTATATTGGACACAAGTCAATGTAAATCCTAATATTAACACACAATATGAAATAAATTTCTCCCTGATTAATTCAGCAACACACATCACTATAATCCATATCAGTGACATGCATTTGTCTTACAAAATAAATTTAGCACAATTTTTAGACATAATGTTGTGCAGTAATTGTTCATTTGGGGGGTCTCTGGACACATCTCAGCACCGTGGACAGCTCCGTTGCTGTGACTGTGACCCTGCAGACTGACAGCAGCTCAGCAGCGACACCCAGCGGACTGAGCACAGAATACACTGAGAGCTCTGTGCTTGATTCAGATGTAATAATAGTGTGCTATTTTTGTAGGAAAACGCCTTTTTAATATTTATTTAAGGCTTTTGAAAGACAGTGTAGAACTAAGAGATGAAAACTGGCAGATCTCTTTCAAGATGGATGCTTTATGATCTATTCTGCCTCGGAGAATTTATACTTCCCATAATATAAAAACGTTGGCTTTGATCAGTTTTAACTTCTTTTAAAGGGACATCAAATCAAAATACGGTAAAGTTAAGACTGCAAAATGTAGTATTTGATAGAGTTGCTGTTGTGGTTAGCTTCTGCAACAATTTAAAGGAACCGTGTGTAAGGTTTAGGGGGATATAGTGGCACCTAGTGGTCGGGATTGTAAATTGCAACCAGCTGGAACTTGTCCCAGTTAGAATTTTTTCAGTGTTCATTGTTCAGGAGGTTTTTAACCAGGAGCTGAATTATCCACAGAGGTCTCTTCCTCTCCAAAACAAACAGTCTAGGCGATTAAAACAGGAAAATACACTGAATAAAGTTGTTTCACGTTACAAATCAGTGTTTCTCTGGCGCTATTCGGCTTATCTGATAAGGGCCAGTAGCCCTGCACTTACTGTACTAATGTGTGCTCACCTTTTGTCTCTGATAACTTAAGAACCAGAACCATCCACAGAGGTCTCCCTCTCTCTGGATTATACACGTTCACATTTAAAAAAGCTGGGTGGTACGGTGGTGAAGTGGTTTGCATTGTGGGCCCTTTGCGTCCTTCATGTTCTCCCCAGGTACTCCAGCTTCCTCCAACAGTCCAAAGACATTCAGGCTTGGTTAATTGGTGACGCTCAATGTGAGTGTGAATGGTTGTCTGTCTCTATGTGTCAGCCATGTGATAGTCTGGTGACCTGTCCAGGGTGCACCCCGCCCTTGGTATAGGCCTCAGCCCCTTCCATGACCCCGGCTAGCAGTTACAGAAATTTTTGCAAAGCTCTAGTTGTGGAGGGGCTGTGGCCGATGCAAAAATGTGAATGGCCCTATCGAGAGTCATTTTGTCCATTCTGGGCTACTGTAGAAACATGGTGGTGCAACATTGCAATCTGCTCCCTGTGAAAATATACACGGCTGTTTCTAAGGTCGCTGGGGGCTGCTTATCCTGTTGCGGGTCATAGGGGTGCTGGAGCCTATCCCAGCTGACTTTGGGTGAAAGGCGGGGTACACCCTGGACAGGTCACCAGACTATCACAGGGCTGACACATAGAGACAGACAACCATTCACACTCACATTCACACCTACGGACAATTTAGAGTCACCAATTAACCTGCATGTCTTTGGACTGTGGGAGGAAGCTGGAGTNACGTGTTTTATGAAAGTGTGTTATGAACCCTAAAGCCTCTAATTTTAAACTTTGTGGCATCAGTAATAATTCATCCATTCATTTATTGTGCCCACTGCGACTGTTAGGTGTCACAGGGGTGCTGGAGCCTATCCCAGCTGACACTGGGTGAGAGGCAGGGTTCACCCTGGACAGGTCACCAGACTATCACAGGGCTGACACATAGAGACAGACAACCATTCACACTCACATTCACACCTACGGACAATTTAGAGTCACCAATTAACCTGCATGTCTTTGGACTGTGGGAGGAAGCTGGAGTACCTGGAGGAAACCCACGCTGACACAGGGAGAACATGCAGACTCCGTGCAGAAGGGCACCTCCACCCCAGGGTTCAAACTAGGAACCCTCTTGCTGTCAGGCGACAATGCTGCAACCCATACTTATTATATGACATTCAATTCCTGCCAGTACATCCCCCTAAATCCTATATGCTGGACCTTTAATGATCAACAATCACAAGGTGACTGTTGGCCCTTAGTCTCTCGGTTGTTGCTGTTTTTTATTGTTGTTGTTTGTCGCTTGACTTCAGTATACCCGCTGTACCATTTTAAAGTCATCAAGGAAAGAGTGACTGTCAACTGACTAAAAAAAAGAAGGAGTTCAGGACTATAATGGACAGCAAGCGGCAGCATCCTCTGTTGCCATGGAAACTGTGTTCACTCGTACTCATATGTTGGGCCTTGGCTCTGCCTGTTGCCGCTATTGCCTCTTGGCCGGCAGCCCAGAGAGAGAGAGACGGGCTCTGCTGACATTACAAGCCAGGGCAGAGATTTAAAATGCACCACTGGTCAGATCACATTCACTTACTGTAAAATGACAACAGGGCTGGTTTTCATCTAACCAACTGCAGGGCTGTCATTACAGGATGCAGTGACAGGAAACCTCAGAAAGTAGATTATGTGTCTCTGTGTTATACTGACAGATAGGAATCTGTTACTTGTTTTTTTGCTTTATATTTTAAAGCAAAGCAAGTATGGCTGCACAAATGAGCAAAACACTCCAGAGATCAGCACATGTTCATTGAATCGGAGATAAGCTCTCACACCCTTTGGATGAGAAGATGAATCATACCACCTGGAGAGAGCTGAACCAAGGACACTACCACCAGGAGCATCCTCTCAGGGTACCTCTTATATTTTATCTTTATCTTTTCATGTCTTCTTTTTCTTTTCTTCTACTTTCCCTGCTTTCCTCCAGCCCTGAGTAATGCCTCTTATCTGTATCTTATTTTTCCCCTTGTTCTTAACCATCTTCTCCTCCTACTTCATGTTGGCCTCTCAACCGCTACATTATCCACAATATTTGTTATCGTGCTGACCTATACTGCCTCACTGTCTGAGTCTCTCTATCTTTGTCTCTGCCTGTCTACTTGTCTCTTGAGGATCTCCTTCACTGCCGTTTCTCTCTTCCTCCCACTGTTTGGTTTGGACTCCCTGCGCTTTACTGAGGATTCACAGAAGCAGACGCCCAAGGACAAAGAACTCTTAAAAGCATTCCCTTTATACTAAACACTGTATTTGCATTTAACAGGGAAATACACATCTGGGGAACGCAAGTGGAAAATGTGGGCTTATGTGTTACAAAATGGAAGGAAAATCAAGCGCACTGAGCACTGAAGTCAGACTGAATTATTCCTACATGTAGTGTTTTTACTATTGTTTGCCTGCCAGGAATGAGGGAGAAAATCAGGGACTGGATCCTAAGCAGGACTGTTCACATCACTTCAGCTCACATGACTTTATTTCTTTGCTGAGCTTCAAATCGTCAGGTGTTAGCTGACTTTGTGTGGACAGTTTTGCTATATTTAAAAAAAAAAAAATCTGATCAGTCATTATTAATATTATTATTTTTATAATCATTATTATTATATGAATTAAAGATCTACTTTATTTCAAACCAAAACAAAAGAATAAACATAATTAAAAACGAACAAAACAAACAGTGTCAGAAAAGGAGTAGGTAGAAGTACAACTTATATGTCCCTACCTCTTTCTTACATTTCTTCTTTCACTCATACTGTTTTCAACAAATTCCCAAATTTATTCACAACTAATATACAACTATCCCCAGTCTATTTACCATCCAATTAAATAAATAAGTAATAAACCCAGCTTATTTACAGTCCAAGTACCACGCAGTGTTACAAATAAATATGCACTCCCCGAGCACAACCTTTCCTCATCTGTATATCTGCTAAAAATATCTTTTTTGGATAGCTTTTAAAATGTATTTATATTTGTGCTTTGTTTCAGCTCATCACGCAGCCTATTCCACACGTCCACCCCGTACCCTGAAATACAAAACTCTTCTTAGTTGTACAAATACATTGTTTTGTTTTTTTTATTAAATTCTCCTCTTTGAGACCCTCACCAGTGGCTCCCTGTGGCTTTGACATAGAAATATACGGATATACAAATAACTATTTTCTAATGGGAATCATTATTATATTATTGTTTTGTAACAGTCAGATTTTCATTTGTCATTGTTATAGGCCAAAAGCAATTATTGTGTTCTACAATTGTAAAAATGTGCAGCCTATACATAGACCTAAAAAATGTTTTAACGTTTCATCAACTAAAACGTGCATCGTATGTCTACAATCTGGAGCCTTTTCCTTCAAAATTTACTAAACCTCAATAGCTGTGGTTAGCCTGGAGTCTCTCCAGCAAGGCTAGCTATGGATTCCAAATCCAAAAAAGGAAAAATCTTGGAGGGAAATAGAGGATTTAATAACTTGT